TGCAAGGTGACGGGTCTCGCGTGTAAAACCCTCCTGCAGTGTCTGCATGAGGCAAAACAAGCGTCTCCTCCCCCTCCCCCCCTTTTTTTTGGTGACCAAAAAGTAGTATGAGGCTTATGATAAAAGGTTAAGGTTCATTTGAGGCGGTAAGATATGAAGGGCCTACAAAGGAGAAAATAGTCGAGCCCGGTGGAAGTTGTTTGTTGCCCGGGTGTAAAGGCGGTATTTGGGAAGGCCGAGGTGGCGTTATGTCTGATTGTAGACTGCCAGCTTACGTTTTCTGATTCTCTTCGTAACAGCACCTACTGCCGTTTATTGCCTGTATAGTGAACTTGAATCCATCCAGGTGGCTTTCTCCCACTAGTGTTTGCCTTTTGGATGGAAAGGCTAAAATGCTACCAATATGCTCATAAATTAGTTGTTCAGCTCTCAGTGCCAACACCACGTTGATGATGGTGACGTAAGGGTACTTCCATCGACTGTTGTTTCTTCATACGGAAGAAGCCAGGAGGTTAGATCTGGAACTGGTATACATGATTTTTTTCGAAGTGCAAGCACATATAATACAGGAGGTTGTGACTGCTGGGGAAGAAAGGTGGAGGTGCTGGGAAAGCCAATGGATTTTTTTTCCCCTATGCTGAAAGTCCTGTCTTCATCTCTACGATGTGTTATGGTTGGAGATCTGATTACTAAAATATAAAATGGCCATGTGAAATAATGGAAAGCAGAATGAAGGTTCTCATTTCTGTGAATCCTGTTAATTGTGTTCGGAGACTTTTGCAAGAGAAGGACTTTTTTCCTGTTTTACCAGCAGAAAAAGACAGTGATTGAAAGAGCTTGTAATGCAGAATTGACCGGGGAGAGAAGGATGGATGACTTTTATGCAGGAAAATAATTGAGCCTAAACACAAATGATCATGTATTTTCATTGAAACTGAAATCCTATTAAAACTGAGTCCTATACTTCATTGAAATTTCAAATAGTTGCAGAACCTCAGGTCACTTATTTCTTTGCTCTTTTAAGGGGAAAAATGTTTAGTTGACAAACTGACATTAAGTATTTAATATTGGGATGCTTCTGCCACTGTGTATCCCACTAATCTATGTACTATTGCACTAACATGGTACTACTGAGTTTCAGCTCCAAACTAAAAGTTAGGAGCACATAGTCATTAGATACGTGATGAACTTCTATTACCATAGTAATACAGGAAGGCATATTTCAAAATATTTTAGTGTTGGACTGGAACCCTTCTAGATTATAGGCAGTATTTAAAGTGGAAGGCAAGGTTGTCTCTAAATGTTAATCAAGAATAGAAAAGGAGGAAATAGTTTGCAAGTAGATTGCCTTTGTTCTTTTGTCTCAGGACGTTTTCCAAACTAATATTTTGAAGAAGTAATGGTGTATTTAGGTAGTATTAGCAATTCCAACGTGTAATACTGAATTTGGAAAGGCCAGCTGTAACAAGCAAGAATCCATGAGAGCAAGGCAGTAACATATAAGTGATTAAAGTTTAAAATTCCTGTCGTCTTTTCAGCCATTTAAAGTTTTGGCAACTGAAACTATAAATCAAAAGGCATTAGATGCGGATATATACAATGCAATTCCTACTGAAAAGGTGGATGGAACCTGCTGTTATGTAACTACTTATAAAGGTAATATGGAAGATCCATATGCAAATTTGTCATGTTGTCTAGTGGCCTTATGTTTTGCTTAGTTTTCACCTTTATTTCATATTTACATGGAATTACAGCAGTTGGGAAATTCAATTTTTTAATTAAACAGCTTGACTAAAAAGTTATAGTTGCTGTAATTGCAGTATTGTAGTTGTCTATAAAGTTGTTAGGAATTTTAGTCTCCAGCATACATGAGGTTTAAATTTACATGCAAACCAAGGAACTGGGCTATTCCAGTTCAACATTTTCAGTCACTGAACCTTCCTTGCACACTAGAATTTGAGGGAGGTTTGGAAGAAGTGACAAGAGTATGGTTCATTGCATCACTGGGGTAGCCTGTTCATGCCTTTGCCCAAAATTATAAGAAAACTTTGTATTAAGCTAAGTGAAATTCTATACATAGATTTTTAGATTCAGATTGGTAAATGATTTCAAATATTGCATATGAATAGTGTCTTTGGAGATTACATTTCTTCAGCTACAGAAGGGAATTGATATTTTACTTTTTATATAGTCAATTTCAATACTATGCAGAGTATGGTTACCTAAGTAAACTACTGGTTTTTATACCTCTGGGATCTTTAGGGCAGCCGTACCTGTGGGCCAGGTTGGATAGAAAACCCAACAAACAAGCTGAAAAAAGGTTTAAACGATTCTTGTATTCATTGGAAGATTGTAAAGGTTAGTGAAGTCCTCTTTCCTGCTTTGGTAATGTAGGTATTTCAGCTGGAAAAACACCTCTAGTCTAGTGTAGGAAATGTCAGTGATCCTACTCCCTAATCATTTTTAATGTCATTCTTAACTTTACTTCTCTTACTGTAGTTTAAATACAGTGTTGGCTATTTAGACAGTTATTTCTCAGTCTGAGTTAGTTTTGAATTTTTAAACTTCCTAAAGGTTTTTATGCTATTTTAAACCATTCTAGTTCTAGACTGCCAGAACATGCCAAGTGTTGATATTTGTACAAAGTAACTGGGACCACTGTCTTTAAAACAAAGTTTAGATCACATTATAGTGTTTTAATACTTATATTGAAAGAGGATCAAAATGTAAAATTGGCTAACAGTTTGCCAAAAACTAAATGTCACATTTATATGTTTAGAATTTGTTTGGAATGTTGAAGAGGATTTCAAGTCTGTTCCAGATTGCTGGATTCCCGCAAAGGAAATACAGTTCTCTAATGGGAATCCTTTGCCTGATGAAAATGGACATATGCCAGGTATGTATGATGCAGCACAATTAAAATGGAAATAAAACCTGTTTTTGAAATGAATTAGAATTAGTCCCTGAGTTACCCGTAGTAGTAACATATTCAGAAAACAATCTGAATATCATCTGTTCACTGTTCAGTAAGCCCTTGTTTTGATACAGTGAAAAGAAGTACCTGTGACAGTTAGCTGTACAGTCTTAGAAAACTTGGGCTGAAATCAGAGTTGTCATTTTTAAGTTCCTCTGACATTTTTTGGAGATACAGCACAGTTTTTCCTGTTACTCTTTCTGTTTATAATTAAGGTAGCTGATTTTTAATGCATGTATAGTTCTAATAAGCATTTGATAAATTTATACGTTTACTTTGGTAAAATAGAATGTTTTCCCATAGGTTGGGTGCCTGTGGAGAAAAACAGTAAGCAGTATTGCTGGCACTCATCTGTTATAAATTACGATGCTGAAATAGCGCTGGTATTGAAGCACCGTGCTGACCCTGGGCTTCTGGAAATCAGTCCGGTGCCATTATCAGACCTTTTAGAACAAACACTGGAGCTTATTGGAACTAATATTAATGCAAATCCATATGGTAAGTATGATTTGTTGCTGAATACTTTTTTATTGAGTAATATTTTGGATTGAAGAATATACACAGTTTTCTGCCTAACAAAAAAAGTTGTATATTCTAAGCTAGTAATGTAACCTCTTTAGAAAGGAAAGAAAGCAATAGCTCAAAGAATGCTCACAGAATGGCACCAAAATATTTTCAAAAAGCTAAATAGTCATTAGTCTGGTTAGGCCCATTACACCTCTTTCTACCTTCATATTTTTTGGGAGTTACTATAGAGATGCTTTGCCTTAGTCTCTCAACAAAGAGGAGTGGTGTTATTCTTGCGAAGAACAGCATAAGCTTCTATGTGAAGCCTTCTTGGTAT